TTATGTTATGAACCATGGAATTTTATAAGCACGAGCGTATTAGCTGCTCTTGTTTGCCTCTTGGTCAGCTCGGACTGCTGCTTTAATATAGTGTATCTACATCTCAGAACTGACCAACATAAATCCAGGTTAGCAGTTGAGAGGATTGGCAAATTTATTTATAAGCGGCCACAAAAAAAAAAAAAAAAGATCTAAAGGATAGAACACCAATCCTACAAGGACAGGCTGAAAGAGCTGGGATTGTTCTCTTCTCTAGGCTGGGGAGCTTGGAGAAGAGAAGGCTCCAGGGAGACATGAGAGCAGTCTTCAGTATGTGTAGCAGGGCTGTAAGAAGGAAGGGTTACAGATTCTTTAGCATGGCCTACTATGATAGGGCAAGGGGAAATGGCTTCAAACTAAAAGAAGGGAGATTTAGACTGGATATAAGGAAGAATGTTTTACAGTAAGGGTAGTGAGGCACTGGGACAGGTTTTCCAGAGGGACAGTAGATGCCCTATCCTTGGTGACCTTCAAGGTCAGGCTGCAGGGGGCTCCAAGCAACCCAATCTAGTTGTAGATGTCCCTGTTCATTGCAGGGGAGTTGGACATGATTACCTTTGAGGATCCCTTCCAACTCAAGTGATGTATGATTCTAAGTGTGTTTACTTAACTACTACAAAACATATATTTTCTAGTAGCCTGTCAAAGCTGACTTGAGGCTACAGTGTATTACTGTGTAAACCTTTTAGCCTGTTGTCTCATCCCACTCAGTAGGACTCTATCTCTTATGTTGTGCCTCCCCAGGTCAGCAAGGGGATACTACTGTGGGTAATTCTGCCAGCAGAATGGAAATACTAGATGTTAGCTTTTTTGCTGGAGAATATTAGTTATAAAGGAAATACCTTATATTTAAATATAGGTGAAATAGGAAGTAAAAGTAGATATAAATACCCAAACTTCATTCATGTTTAATAGTTATCTGTGTCCAACAAAACCAGTGGGATGCTAAGAGAGCATGGATATAGGTTTACAATCACCAGTCTTGGGCTTTCTATGAGTATAGCTGAGTACATCTCTGAAGAATTTTGTGGCATTGGTACGTGAGTCCTCTTGTCCTTGTAGCTGATTGCACTGAGCTTGCAAATTTATTAATATGTAGCAATCCACTGTAAAGCTAATGAAATTCTCTTATGCTTGAGCAGCTGAAGGAGGATCCTCTGTATCTTTCTGTAGTAATTTTGTCAATCAATAGCAGTATACAAACAGAAGACAGTTTTAGCAACAGCCAAAGAGCCATTTACAGGGTGGATATGCTCCAACTGTTCTGCTTCTAGTTGTAACTAGAAGGGAGGTAAATTTTCCTAAAGCAAAATCTTCAATAATAATTCTTCACTCTTCCATACCCAGGTGTGTTATAAAAGTAAAACAATAATATTTGGTGCTACATAAATACCAGGTATAGAATTAAAAACAAGCATATGTATAAAGCTTTGCAATGGACTAATTAAATAGAAACTAAAATCAGAAAAAATATATAAACTGGAAATTTCTAAGAAGTAAAACTCACGTATGGTTTTGATCTTCTTATATAATCTTCTTTAATGAGAAAAATTTAAACTGTGTTAGCTGTAACTGTCAGTATACATATAATTTTCAGATATATATATATTTGAAAAGTATACCCTGTGTTTTGAAAGACCTGATCTTGATGATATTAAGCTTTAATAATGAAGAACCTTATTAATTTTCACCATTACTCCTTCTGTGGTTACATGGAAGGAAACTCAAATGGAAAGTGGGATCCTACTTAATAGGTAATTTCTTGCAACTACCGAAGCAGCTTCCACAACAAGTTGCTTTGGAAGAGCAGAGTTTCTCAAAGGGCATATTGTATTCAATATTTTGGGGATGGGCTTGAATAGATTTTCCGTGCTGCTATTGTATAACATGTCTCAGGACTGAAGAGTGTTAATCAGTGCTGAGAAAACTTGCAAAATCTGTTTTATTATGTGTGGAGCTGGCACTGATGCGTGTAATTACAGTAGTCCAACACTTTCCACTATAATTCTGTTTTTAGTTGTTTGTAACTAGGAATGTTTTGTGCTGAAACTTTCCATGCTGGATGTCTGCTCCAGGCTGATTGTTATTTTATATTTTAGAACAAGTATTTCAGGTGCTTCTTAAGCTTGAAATTAAGGAAAAATATACAGTTCAGCAGGAGATGTGGGCCCAGTGTAAACAGATTGATGAAATGCAAGCCAAATGATTATATCATGTAGCAAGGGACTGTGTACCAGATGTAATGACACCAATGGAGGCAAAGGGAGACTAATGTCTTACTAACAAATCCAGATGTCTTTCATGAAAGTGTAAGCTATTTATTTATTTATCTTCCCACCAGATACTCTAATGCTTCCATCTGCTGGAGCTCATTTGAAATATTACACTAAGTAGTCCTAGGAAAAATTTGGCCATTCCATTCAAAATTTCTGAAGAAATCTCTATTTGTGTAAGGTCAAATTAAATGTGTTAGATGCTAGAGTCTTTTATTTTTTATTTCCTTATTTCCATATTTATTCATTTATTTAAATGATTAATACGTTAAGAAGGCACTCCAATTTAAAACCACAGTGTCTAGAAAAGTTGGGTATTTCAACTGTTGTTGCTTTTCAGTCTGCATGCAAGAAATGATAAAAAGAATTATTCTGTTGTGTGTTCAATGTTACTATTATTGACTTGCTTCCCACTCTTCCCTTTTCCTGACGGAGTGTAAGCATGTAAATAGTTTGATTCAAATACACATGATCGTGGATTAGACAAGGGGGCAGTTGGAACAGGGTAAGGTTACTTTGAAGGCAGAGTCACTTTATTTAGCACACCCTCTCTACCAGTGCAGTAAAATAAAGTAGTTTTGCATTTGGATATAAATTCTTTTGGAGAAAGGGCCTTCACCTTCCTTCCCTGTCTCTTGCTACAAATTTAAAGAAAGCATAGGCTTGTATAAGGTGCTAAATACACTCTTATACTGTCGGTTAATCAAAACTGACTACTTCAAATGTTCTCCAAACTTCAAGTGAATGGAAACACAAGTAAGTATGTGGTTATGGTTGCAGGAAACCTTTTTGGAAGCTATTGGTACAGGTAAATTATTTTTACTTTTGGCTGACCCTTGGACAGGAATGGAAAGAAAATACCAGTATCTACTGAATCAGTAATTTTATTACAGAAAAAAAAAAAAAATTGTTCTTAATATAAAAAAAAGGAATTGACTTTGGCTGAAGTCTGTAGCAGATTATATGCACATATGCGTTTGGGGAATTACTGAGCACTTCCTAGACTGTTTTGCTTTCTGACTTTATTACATTTCGTTTACTGAAGAACATGTTCTCCTTTATCACTGAATTCATATTTTCAACATTTTTGTTGTTGTTACTCGTGTCATGGTCTTGTTTATACATCACTTACTGGTCTTTTTTTTCTGTAGAGAAGGAAGTGAGAGAAAAATCCAGTCATTGTAGAACAGAAAAGTAATTTGAATGGCATCACAAATGTAGCAGAATTAGCATGATGGCAGCCTACAGAAGGAGAATATTTATTTTGGAGTTACTCTGTTTTTCATGAATATCTGAATACCTTTTCTGTTAAAGCAGATTTTTTTTTTTTTTTTTAACTATTGAATCTAATAATAATTAGAAGGACAGTATTTCTCTTTTTAAATCTAATGATTTGGCAATGTTGTAATCTGCTAAATGTTGTAATCTGCTAGTGGTATGAAGCAAATAACTAAGACTCTTTCCTTAGTATTTTTAAATCAATAAAGTAGAGTCAGTTGTATTGTTTCTGTATGGAAAACTTCACAGGCAAGAACCTGAGCAGTTCTGTGTACAGACTATTTATTAACATGTGGTCTTTTACTTTCCATCAAAGAAAATAATTTCATGCCTACAGACACAGAATAATGCTTTATTTTGTGTCATTATAGCTATTTTATCTTGTTTGGGTTCCTCTTGCCTCTTTCATCCCATGTGAACTGATCATATTCCAAGCAGTGTAAGTCATTGTAGCTGTAGTGTGGCTGTAAATTTTAAAACTAAAGCTGCTTCTTATATATTATTAGCAATTCAGTACTTCTTCTGACTAGTTTCCTGAAATATATAAAAAAGGAGAGGGGACAATCTTACTGTTTGAGGCAGTTTCCAATTAACAAGCTTCCTTGCTCTATCCTTTTAGGAAGGGCACGAAGATTTCAACACATTAATTGAGATCCTACTACTTTTCTGTAGTAGTGTGGCAACACCTATGTGGAATGCTACAAAGGATAAGGATCCAGAAGTTAAAAATACATATACTTATATATACTTATATACTTATATTTTTCTGTCCATTTTTAGATAGCTGACTGAAGCCATTAGACAGTTTTAATTCTGTATCCTGGACTGAATACAGATTTTGTGAAATATATAAACAACATGCAATTAAGTAGATTTACAGTGAATATGGTCTAGAATAGAATGTTTGACACTGAGGACTGTCAGATTTCATTGGTGTTCACTTGGATTAGAGAATCTTTGGAGTTGTCTGTTGGGATTTGTTTTCTGAGTGAGACATTAAGTGTTTTTCCAGAGCTGCCTTTGTCCATGAATCCTTTCATAAATTGGAAAGACTGTTAATTGAATGCAAAAGTTTTTAGGATGTATATCTTGTAGCAGTTTGCTGTCTGCAAGGTCAAACTGAGTTACTCTGGGGCTTATTCAAGATTAAAAAATTGCACTATTCCCTGTAAATATATATAAGCATACATATATATATTTCATTTTAATCAACTTTAGTTAGGCATTTGAAAAATTATCCTCATTTATAGAAATCTCTTTAAAGATGTGGAAGACACAGAAATATATCTAGCTATTATGAAACATTCCTAACTTCACCGCAGGCTGAATCTTTAGTCCTCTTGTACTATATATTGGTGTATCCATAGTGTTTTACTTCTTTGAGGTGAAAATTATGTCATTGTTTTTTAGGCTTACATATTTGAGATGCATTCGAGTACCTTTGCATATAAACTGGGAGGACACACGGAATCTGTCACGAATGTTGCTTTTAGTCCCTTTTTGCCACAGGTAAGTCTTTTTTTTTTTTTTCTTTGTAATTAAAGCATGTAAAATGTTCACTCAAGTCACTACAAAAAGAAATACGTATAATTTAAAGAAGGTTTTAGTGTCTAGAATCACTTTTAAAAACAAACAAACAAACAAACAACCTCAGATCTTACCATTCCTGAGGGATGATCATACTTACACAGCCTATGGTCCTTTCATGTCAAAGGTTAAGCATACTTTTCCAAACTTTTTGTACTGGAGTATTCAGAAGATTATTTCTGCTCCTAGATTCTTACAGACTTTCAGCAGTTTACCTCTTCCTCTTTGATCTCCCTCTGCTTCAGATTTGAAAAAGAAATAATCATGTTTCCTTTTCTAATGCTACTTTGAGAATGAGCTCATAATAAGATATTGTATGATGTCATCCACTTAATGTCATAATTGTGTGAAATATGAACAAAGCTTAAGAAATAACCAAAGGTTTTATTTATATGCACAAACATCTACTTTTTGTCTATTTATAACGTAGAAGCTGATGTACATGAATTTTCTCACATTTCAATACGTAAAATATTTCTTCTTACTTTAAAGACAATACTTTAAACAATAACCAGATATATTAATTGATACGTCTATATATGTGTTACAGTAGAATACACAGTAGTTCTTTACTACCTCCTCAACAAGGGTTGCTACTATTCAAAAATATTAAGGAATAAGTACAATTATTTTAGATCAAAGAGTATTGTTTTATTTACATTTCTCATACTTCCATATATAAAAGAATGTGCTAGCATTTCTGTGACTTTAGAATTTTCTAGAAGTCTTACTCTTCGAGTACATGTTATTTGAGCTGAGAAAATGTATAATTACGATCCTGTGATGAGCACTATGTATTTCTGCTCTTTGGATTCAGCACTACAATACCGTCAGTAAAAGGGTAGAGTTTATGAAAATTTGCATCCAGATTAAGGCTAGTTTCAGAGTTTGTACTCTGTGAAATATAAAAGATGTTTTAAACTGAAGAATAGAAGTGACTTCCTGTAGCCTTGTGGTATCCTGATCTGAAGGTCTTGCTGTTGGAATGGATTTTTTTTTTTTTTTGTCAGAGTAGAAACAATAAAGGCTAAGTTACAGTATAATGACTCAAGACTTTAAAATAACCAAGTTAAAATCAGTTGTTGATCAGAGGAGCAGAATCGGCAAAAGATAAAGTAAATGCTGGCTTATGGGGAGATCTAAGCCAGGCTGGTCTAACACAGCGTGCCTTGTGACACAAAACCTTTCATACTGAACTTTACAAAACATCACACAGTCAGTTTAATATCACAACTAAGAAACTAGATCTGAAATTCAAGGACCTGAAACCCTCTTCTTGAAGAATTCCTCCCTGAGAACTGTAGATTTGAACCATATTACAAATTACATATTTCCCCCATGTACAAATGGGGAAAGATTTTGAAGCTGATGTTATCAAGAACACTGTAACAAAAAGAAAGAAATGTGCAGAAATCGCACTTTTAAAAGATTACAACTAAAAAGTAGTTTCTTTTAAAAAGTAGGCTTTTAAAAGTAGGCTTTCCAATACAAGCTAGCATAGAGTTACATTTGAAGGTGCTAGGACAAGGCAGGAAAGGAAGCTAAGAGTATCAGTTAGACTGTAGAGTGGGGAAAAAAGCAAGTCACAAATTAATTAGAAAATAATAATCCTGTGCCTTGAAAGAGAGACTTTGTATTGGGCAACCAGAGTCTTCAACACTGGATGATTTTTATACCTACTACTTGTTAGGAATTTAAAATTGACTTTAGTTTTCTTTCATCTGATGTTTGAATGAATATGGTTAAGAACTAGATTGTGTTCTGAATAACCCCTACACAGAGCCCCATTACGTTCGAAGGGGATCTGGTAGGAGAAAGAGTAAGGGGTGAAAAAAGGGAAATGACTGATTAGTGAAATTTGAACATTATGGCTGAGCTTTCTGGTGGAGAGATCCAGCCAAGAGTGAGGTGTATTGGCAGCAATCCAGTTCAGTGGTTACTTGCCCAGCACCTGTCCATGATGCAGTTTGTTCCAATCATTATTACAACTCTTAGTTCCATGAATGTTCTTCCAGAAATAAGGGGGAAATTTTTTTATTTTATTTTTATTTATTTATTTAAATGACATCTTGTGTCCTTTAATTATACTATGCTCTGGAATGTCTTATAAAATATTTGCCATGAAAGCCGGTAAAGAAGAATCAGATAAAAGTATTGGCTTTATCCCAGTTTTATTTTCAAGCTGATTTCTTAGTTTTAGCCTCTCAGTGCCTCTTTCTGATTTCATTAATTGGTCAAAATTTATATAGGGAAAAGTGTTAAGCTTATTATATATATTAATTGCATTTAAATCTATTTTAAAGAATGTGCATTAAGAGAGATAATAATTTTAAGTTATAATAACTGTAACTATTAACTACAATACAGTTGTGTGAATTTGAAGTTAAAATAGAGGAGGAGTCTGCCAAATAGAGAAGCTATCAATCATCTCTTTATGAAATGTTGTTAAAACAGAATAAAAGCAAATGAGGAGACTATTATTGTCTGCAGGTTTTTGGTGGCTTTTGTCTAGCTGACTGTTGATTTCATCTTTGTACAACCTGGGCATACAACAGCAGAGCCCTGTGCAATTGCATTTTATTTCTCTTAGTAGAAGTAATGAAACTCAAAGCTCTGAGCCAATATACTGTGCATGCGTGCATACTTGCAGACACACAAAAGTAAGCTTTTGAGAAGAAAAAATGTAATCTAAAAAAACCCATAATCTACATTCAGTATTGGCCTTACTTTGACTAGAAGATTGGATTAGATGATTTACTAAAGTTCCAATGAAGCAACCATTTCAAAATAAACAGCTGCTTAAATGAATGTACTGTAAATTAATTTAGGATATTTGATGAAAAATAGCAAAAATAAAATTTGCATGTTATGAAATGTTGAAAATTGATTTCATTTTCCATTTGCCTGTAGTTTTTTAACAAAGTAAGCATATGAGAGTTTGATGTGACCACTCGACAGGTAAACTATGAGATAAATTCAGGAAAAAAAGACCCTTCCCCCCAAACTAGACTATAAGGGTCTACATATTCACCTTCCTCTTCTTAGGTTGGATGGTATTATTTTCTGAAGTCCCTACAAATTGAATTATTTGATGTTTCTTTGAAGCTGATATGCACCAGAAATCACTGAAGGCATGGCATTTTAAAATTGTCATTTAGAAAACATTATCATCTTCGATTTTTTTTTTTCCACAGAAGTTCAAATGCAAAGTAGAAGTGGTTGAATTGGAGTCTGAATAGAACAGACTACAGATTGTTTTATCAAATGCTTATTTTACACGTGTGGAAGATATTAATTCAAACCGTTAGTCTGTAGAACAATTTTTTTGTGTTAATGTATAAGTCTGATTTTGTGTTCAGTGAGTACAGCTATATTTCAAATAATATTAGTTACAGGTATATTGTGACAAGATTATGTTAGAAACTAATGTATTATTGGGCAGCTGGAGAAGTTTAAATTAATAACAAAGATCTGAAAGACTTTCACAGCTAGGTTTACTTGGAAACCATTGAAAATTTCACAGTAATTTTCTGCCCACCTGTTTGGAGCGAGACATGTAATGTTCCTAGTAATGAGATTTGCTTGTGGATCTCTTAGGCAGTAACACAGTTATTTGCTATAACCACCACTTTAGTCAGAATTGGCTACGGGTGGTTTTGGATGTGTCTGGAAAAATGAGTTATCATCTTTTACTAGCTACTAACAAAATATACTTTTCCTGGTGGTCACATCTGGAGATTTCAGTTTAGAACATTCTATATAAAAATGTCATCCTTTTGTGATTTTTAGTTCACCTTTGATGGTTCATTTAATCATAATTTTTTCCCCAATGGAGGTTACTTCTGAAGTGATATGGAAAATTTTTTTCTCTGACTGAAGTTTGCTTGAGTTTTGGCTTTACTAACTTGTCTTGTGTTATACCTACATAGGGCAGATTTTTTCCAGCATGATATTCTGCCTTAGGACTCAGAACTGTCTTGTCAGAAATTAATTCATGTGGATATAAAACTTGTGACCAGCTTCACCTCTAATATGATTTAACTGAAGTCAGGAAAATGCTTTCACGTGGTTCTTTTGATGTTGGTATTTGTTCGAGTCAGTCTAAGTACTTCCTCTCATAGTCCGCAAATGCGTCAAAATGGATGTTAATGAAATTTACTGGCTTTTCTTTTTTACTTTAATTTTCTGTCTGAGAGGAATAAATTGGCAGTTGACAGCTTTTCTGTTCTTTCATTCCCAGCGATCAAATTCAAAGGCTAAAAAATGCAAAGAAATTTTTAAAAATTGCTCTAGTACTTTTTTCCTTTCTGAAATTCTCATGAAAGTTTTGAATTCTGCTGAGAGACTAGATTACATAGATTTTAAAAAGATTTTTAAAGTTTTCTAGAAATATTTTTTGAAAAATTATTTGGTAGAATCTTTTGTCTTCAGTACGGCCTTTGGATTTGTCTTCACGGTCATGAGAGAAGTAGAATAAGAAGACGGAAAAACAAGCTTGTTTGAGTGCTTAAATGGAAGCTGCAAGCATGTCAGAATGGAATGCAGCTGAGAGTTCGAATCCCAACGAGTAAGAAGGCAAAAAATGAGGCAATGAAAAATGATCGTAACATGTTTTTTTAGGGCAGACTTAACTTAAAATGTGGCAACCCTGAAGCAGATAATGTACAGAGGATCAGTTGTGTTATTTGAATTAATAAAACCATGCACATCTAGAAAGAGTAGAAATGATAGAAGTTTGAGAAAGATGGATTCTGAGATTTAAGATGTAAGGATATTTGTGGAGAAGGTCACTTGGTAAAAATCTGAAGGTTAATTATTTTTTTTTGGATTTTAACTAACTCCAAAACAAATACATTTTTGCAAGTAGGCTACTGTTAACCTCAGAAGAGACACTGTCCTAGAATTTTAGGAAGTTTACAGAT